AGTTTTTTTAGTGAATAAGTTAATACTCTATATCATAATTGTGCATTCAAAGTTCACAATCTGCGATTACTTGTCCCCAACAGGGTTCTTCTGGGGCTGATGATATTTTTGAAGAAGACTCCTACTCTCCTTCCTCTCTGTCGTCTTCCTCCTTGCCATCTATCCCTCTGTCTACATCCCACCAGGTGAAGATCTCTTGCGCTTCCTGTGGGCAAGAAATTGTGGACAGATACCTTCTCAAGGTCCGAATCATTCCTTCACTGTCATTATTGCTGATATTGACATAACCTAGAAAAAATCAGTAGTGAATTATTTTGCTAAAGAACACTCTTCTCCCCTAAACAAATCCAACCTATGTATGTCCAACCAAATGTATTTTCTTTCCTGTAGGATGTAGTGTGTGGCTTCTGTTGATTTCAAATGTCATTCATTCTCTCCTCTCCCGTCATTCAGGTGAACGACTTGTGCTGGCACGTGACATGTCTCGTTTGCAGTGTATGTAAAACGTCTCTGGGGCGACATGTGAGCTGTTATGTGAAAGACAAACAGGTTTTCTGCAAACTTGACTACTTCAGGTGTGTTGGTCCCAGCAGTCTTTGTTTTCAGAATTTCATTGAACAATATTGTTTGAGTAGCAAAACAAAGAGATGTTTAAACTAGTCACAAATATGTGTTTGGTGCATTCAAAATAATCAGGAGACAGGAATTATGTTCCCATAAATTTTAAATTTCATACTGAAAACTAAAGTGACTAAAATGTCAGGGCTTAATATTTGTATTTTTATTGCTTTTGTCTAATGAAAAGCTGTGTCAGCTTCACTGTCGACAGTAATCAGAGCAAACGGTGCTGAAATTTTTGTTGTTTTTAAGCTAGCTGCTAAAATGTGAATAAGTCCCTGCGTTTCCTTGTTTAACAGTCCAAAAGAAAAGCCTGAAATTGAAATATATTTTATGTGCAAAAGGAATTTTAACATGGCGAAATATTTCAACCATTTGCCTCACTTCTTATTTTCTTTCATTTAGGAGATATGGCACTCGTTGTGCACGTTGTGGCCGGAACATCCATTCCACTGACTGGGTGCGCCGTGCAAGAGGAAGCACCTTCCACTTGGCGTGTTTCTCCTGCTCCTCATGTAAGCGGCAGCTCTCGACTGGAGAGGAATGTGGATTGGTGGAGAACAGGGTCTTCTGTCGAAGTCACTTTGACATAATGATGGAGAATCTCAAACGCTCTAAGGAGAATGGTGAGCATACAGAAGTGAGATAAGAGAAACGGTTTATTATCTTAAATACTATATGTTTAAGAGAATCTCTCTCTATATACATTTATAACATTTGGTGCAATAAATATTAGAAATAGGCTACACATTACTCAACTTGCAAGTATGCTAAGCATTGATATGAATTGTGGGAGTGACTGCATTCCCTTCAATTGATCTATTTTGCTATGTCTTCTTCTAAAGAGCAACCAAAATTGGACGATGACCTGTCCAACCAAGATGATCCGAGTGCAATTCCCCGACCAGCAAAGAGGGCCAGGACCAGCTTCACTGCTGACCAGTTACAGGTGCTTTGACCTGGAAGTTGTGGTCCACTGAACCATTTTCTCACAAATAGAGAAAAATTAAAAATTGATATGAAGCATTGCATTAAAAATGTTTCTTCAGTTAAGACATTTTTAATGCAAAGCATTATTATTATTATTTTCTTTTTTTAATTACCACTAATATTTTTAATGGGAGCGGCAACAATTCCACACAAATTGCAGAGATTTGAATTATTGCTTCATATTTCATCAGAGCATTTCTTTCTTGGTTAAACTGAATGCAAACAGAAGTCTCTCTTGGTATTATAAATCAACAGAGATTTGTCTCGCTTGTCCTTTAATGTATCTGCAGATCATTTTGAAAACAAATTAACCGTATAAATTTAATAAAGTCTGATAAATGTTTACTAAAACTTTCTCTGTCACTCTATCCGTAGGTGATGCAAACCCAGTTTGCTAAAGATAATAACCCAGATGGTCAGACTCTGCAGAGGCTGGCAGAGAGGACAGGTCTTAGCCGCAGAGTAATTCAGGTAATTAAAAAAAAATATATTTCCTTGTTCACTGAATTACAACAAAATAAAGTTACAGGATACAAACATGCATGTCTGTAATAAAAAATATCATAACACCAAACAAAAACAAACTACATGTCTTGCCCTGTAATAAACTTATTTTCCCTGTCTTCAGGTTTGGTTTCAGAATTGCCGAGCTCGTCAAAAGAAACACATTGGCCCGATTCAGCCCTCTTCAACCATGATGACATCATTTGGTCCTAGTCAGCTAACTCCACCTTTGATGGAGGATCTACAATATACAACCTATCTTTCTCCTGACACACCACTTCTCACTACTTTGACTTATATGGAAGGTAATTAAGCTATGCAAACCCTCAATACTATTCTAAACTCCTACTGCTTAGAATAGGAGTTTAGAATCCTATTCTAAAAGTTTAGATCCAAATGTTTTAATCGGATGTCATAGTCATCTTCTTGCTGGATTTGGCTAATATATTTATTTGAAATAAACAGTATTGTTTCTTGACACCCACATCTGGCAAATTAAAAGCCAATCACAATTAAATTACACATTTTTAAGTTGACACTAGTTAAATCTGCTTTCTGTGACTTATCTTTTTTTTTCTTTTTTCTCACTTTTCCAGTTCAAACTCCGGACCAACTTTTGCTTCAGCCGCTCATGTCAAATTCACTGACACAGCTCCCAATCAGCCACTCCTGAATACCATTACATAGAAAATGAGTCTAAGAGTTTGAAGAGATAATCTAGTGAAAATCACTTATTTGTCTATAAAAGTCTTTGCAGGTGTGTAAGGGGTGAATGGGTAACTACCGTATAAGACGAGAGCACTAAACTGCCAATATCACTTGGTCACTGTAGAAAGAAAAAGTCAATGTATTAATTTAACTTATTCATGGAGTCACATGAGAAGTTGTTAAGATATTAATGTTTTCAAGATGAAACTTCTGTTTATATGTATGTTATGAATTTTTGTGTATTTAATTTATCAGAATATATGAAATCTGGCACTTTGTTATTGAACATAAAATAACTTTAGTTTTATACATATTTGCTTTTGCTAAGAATGTAAAGCGAATGTCAGCAGTTACAATGTGGAAATTAAATGGTTTGATTTTTCTTTGTATTGAAACTGTGTCAGCAGTTATTGTTGTATGTCGCACCACAAATTGAAACCACTGGAGAATGTACATGAGGAGAAAATAAAATTTCTGTTTTTCTTCTTAAAACTGTAGATCTGTGCATGAGCAATTAATGGAACGATAAATTTAGGCTCTGTTTATTTAGCAAAGATTGTTTTAGACTGCTATAACTGGGTACTAATGTTTTCCAAGTGTCCAATATTTGCATTATATATATATATATTAATATAATGTTCACTCAGCTGAACAGGCTTTTTGGTTGCAGATTCTTGCAGTGGACACAAATGACATTGCTTAAAAGGTAAAACGTCACAGAATAATGGAAGCATGGATGTGGAAGAAAAGAAAATTGTCACCACATCACATCACATTTTCTTGTCATCACATTACTTAGTACTGTTATTGAATTTCTAATTTTGCGCAGCCCTGTCTGATAGTCTATGCATCCAGATTTAAAGTTTCTCAGATGCTAAAGTGTGCAAATTGAAGAACAAAAATTGAATGGCCAAAATATGATTTCCATGTGAAAAAGCTCTTTTCAGCAGGTGATATTTAGTCAAGCCATCACAATTCATCCAGGGAATTTAATGACATTTACACTGGATCAGAGATACTGGGATCAGCTTTTTTTAATTTTAATTATTATTTTTTTATCAGATCAGTTGTTTTTATAAATTAAATTCCCCTAAGAATGCAGCTGTGAAAATAATGTATTTGCACTAAAAGCTCTGTTGCTTCAATGCAGCCAAATAGCTACTTTGTAAACTTGAGTACTTGCAAAATAATAAAGTAAATACTAATTTATTAAAGATAATTTGGATTCAGAAATATTTACCAAATATTTATATGATATACTTTGTTGAGTCAAGTCATAAAAATTGTTAAGTCATCAAGTGTTAGTCTGATAAAAAAATAACTCAAAGTACCACTGATGTGGTTTGAATAAATACCTCAACACCAGAAAAACTACTGAAAAATGTAAAATCAGATCTTTCACTGTGATTGAAAGAATGATCAAAGATTTATAGTAATAAGTGGGCGGACATAACATCCATTTGACTACATACCTCACTACTATACGGACAAAAATGTTTTTACAATGCTTAGGAGAAGCACTAAATGTTCACGTAAACAGAATTCGCGCTGTTTTCTTAAAGATGGTCTCTAATATGCAAATGTGGGCATAAAATACTCTTGACTTTTTTTTAATCTTTGCATATTAAAAGTGTCTAACCTTTTCAGTCGATTACATCGAGTGTATTAAAAAACATTATTTTATAAGACAGAATAAGTAAAATAAAATGTAATAAATCGATTTGTATATTTTCCATGGCGTTATATGGATCATCACAAATTAGAAATACAGACTAGGTAAAGATACAGAAAGGAGAAAAATAAATTGAGACATTGAAGGTTCAGGACGAATCCTGATATAAGTAAATATATATGAGCAATGGTAAAATAAAGAACGTAAATAAATCCCATGGAAATTAGCGCCTTCTGGTGGATGGTGAGAGTAAAAACATTTAGGTGAATACTGAGGTTTCTGTCTTACAGCAAATGTTCACATCTTTAGACAAAAACAAATGTTTATGACCACATTTTATTGTAAGATATATGCACCTCATTCCTCTATATCCCTTCGTGTATGTTTTGCTTGTTTTCGCTGATACTGTTTTTTGACGTTTGGAAAAGATTACGTAATCTCTTAGTTTTATTTTGAAAACATGTCCGGAAGCGGGGTTTTATCATTGGGCATGCGCAGTTCACTAGGAGGAAAAGCTTCAGCGGGTATCAGCAGTTGGGAACTGTAAACACTATCTTCCAAGGCTACTTCTCTCTGTCATTGGGATGGAAATATAAGGTAAACCCCCTCTTAAAAATACTCACCTCTGTAGCGTATTGTGATTTAATTTTTTGGTTACATGGTGTACAAATAGCTTATACAAACCTTGGCACACAGTTGCACACAGTGAGGTTTTGTCCTAATCTACAGCTAAGGCGTAAACGGCCACATATGTATGAATTTGTAAGCTAACTCACAAAGGTCTGCTTCAAATAGTAATCAAACCATCGCGCTGTAATAAAAGCACTTCCCCGCATGTACCGGGGAAGTGCTTTTTATAACGCTAGCTCCTGATCTTAGCCTCTCCCAAATACTGGGGAAGTTAATCAACGTCTGTCAGCAAGTGTTACTTCGTTTATTCTAGTTTTCTAAGAGAAACATCGGCTTTAGATAGTCACCAAAACCATATTTATACAGTAACATTTTGTGGAGTCTGAAAATGAGCGATATTTCATTCATAGCTTTTTGTTTTGCACATTTTAGAGAAACTAGTAGTTAGCCTGTGTTAGCTTAGCTACGTTTGTCGGTAAAAAAAAAAGTGTATCTCATATTACTGGGCGTTTTTTATGAACATGTTTTTTTCCCCCATCTTATTTCTAAGGGGGCTTGTTCAGTAAAATTACTGCAATGAGCTAAATAGATACACTAAATCCGACTTACTTGTTTTCCTTTGTGGTCCTAAACATACAAAGACAGCAGAACAATCAAAACTGTCATACAGAAATGCAGAGTTTATGAGCTGCATTTGTCATCTCATACACGTACACAGTGCAGACACTGCTTGAATTCAGGTATAATTGATTTTTAGAAATGTTCCCTAAAGTACCTTGATACATTATAACATAATTTTAACTAAATGATACCAGGGGCATTTTGTAAGTGATTTTAAAACAGAAAGATGGGTGAACTGACAAGATTAATGTCTATGTTGTTGCCTGTGTTGACATTTTAATAATTTATCCTTCTCCTTGTTTTAGCATGATAAACAAATGTTGTAGTGGCAAGAGTAAAGTTTACCTGAGTTTTGTTTACCATTTAAAATTAAATTCTATCTGTTTACCATGAATAGATAGAATGTTGTTCTTCAGAGATGTCTTCAGCCTGACCATTGCCTTCCTGCAGTTTCTCATCTCTTTTCAGTGCTCTGTACGAAGCAAAGCATAAAACAAGGGGCTGGTTTTTTACAAGGTTACGATGCCTTATTTGTGGCTGAAAAAAGACAATTTTCTGTAATATTCAGAAATTCACATACCTCCTGCTGTTCTTGATGTCATACTTTGAAGTACTTTCAGCTATAGACAACATCCTTAATATACACAAATTGGGTCTTTCATTTGTTAATCTGATGTAACTTTAAATTTGCATGCCCTTATTAAGATGAGTTTATGAACAAAACATTATATCGTAGCTAAACATTAACACTTCAAACTTCCTTGTTATAATAAGTGGGTGGACATAACGCTGTAGTCAATAAATGTTACGTTTTTTAGGGCTTTATATTTCAATGAAGAATAGATCTGACTGCACTTTGTGTGTCTGCTGCTAATGTTGACGAGAACTATATTGTTTTGATGCAAGAACAGAACTGTTAAGAAGGATTTTAATGCTGAACATGACATATCATAACGACAAAATGTGCTCAACAGATGACGAGCGCAGTCAGGAAGGTTTCTTTTCAATGGAAATGAATTTGATAGCATTACGTTACAAAGGCCTGCTCTTTAGGGTTGTGAGAAAAGAATGTAAAAGATGACATGTGTTTCCAAGAGACAATGTAAATGCAGAAACTATTTGCATTTAAGTTTTAGAAAAATGTTGAGCCTTGATGAACAATAGATGGTGAACAATAGATGGTGATTTGTTCTGCTGTCTTTATAGGGTGACGTGAATCAGATATTGTTCTTCAGTGCATGGACACAAAGCCAATGCGCAGGTAGGTTTAAATATACATAATTATTTTTCTGTTGCCTCTGGACTCTAGAGCCCTGTCTGCATTAATGCAGTTTGAGAATTACAATTGAAGGCATTGTTACTTTCTCCAACATAGTTCTGACAATTTTACTTATTCTGACATCAGCATATTAGCCATAATTGATTTATGGGGGAAAAGTTAATGGCTTCACACTCTGGAGTGAAACAAAAAAGATTTTTGTCTCCACATTGCATTATTGTGATAACAGTGTATGCAATACATATATAGTAAAGAACTTCCATGAATATTTGTTAAATATTGAAGTACCATGCATTCAGGCTTTGAATGCCTTGAATATAGTCAGTAGTAGTAGTAGTTTAATGTACATAATTAAAAAAACTACAACTAAGTTGTTTCAATGCGAAACAGCAGACGTCAGCCTACTGTGGTCCAGTAGCTGGATAGACGACTCATCTATCTGAAAGGCTCATTTATTGAGATTTGTTTGCTAGAAGGAAGACAGTAAAACCTTTTTAATTCCTTATTTATTGCAAGTCGTGTTGTCGCTATCCCAACAATCACCAGCGTTATCTCACATTTCATTTTTTCCTAATATCGTTCAGCCTTATTGACTTGGTTAAGAGTTGAAGTAGAACAGGAATGTGGTTACACACACCCACATGCTATGAATAAACTATTGCCATCACCATGACTGTAAAAAGAACTTGTTGGATTACCATGTGTGCATGAGGTTTAAGAGGCAACAGAGGTTAATTGGCAAAAGGGGGTGGAATACCCACTATATATTTAATATCAGTCAATAATGTCAATAGTTTTAAAGTTATAGTTGTATTTCTGGAGTTCTGTTTTATTTAGGAGGATAAGGACTGAGTGTAGATACAGTCCCTTGCAAAAATGTTTCCATCTCTGAAGCTTTTTTTTTTTTTACATTTTGTCATATCACATTTACTAGATTACTGAATCTTATTTGACAGACCAACACAAAGTATAAATGTCGAATTGTAAAGGTGATCATAATATTGAAGTAGAAATAAAACTCAGATAGAAAGGTAAGAATTTACAGTCACCTTAACATATTATATTACATCCACTTGTGTGCAATTTGAACTCGGTGAACTCTGAGAACACAGCTGCTCTTCGAAGGCCCCAGAAAATTGAGAGAGAATGCTGGTAAAGACGAAAGAGCACATCTGACAGGTCAGGGATAAACTTATAAAGAAGAGTAAAGCAGAATTAAGCTCCAAACTCCCTCCCCCCCCAAAAAAAAAAAAAAAAAAACAGGTTTAAACATCTGACAGAGCAGTGGTCAATCCATCTGGAAATAGTTATAAGACACAAGTCTAAACCTTGGTGTCCAACTAAACTGATGAGCCAGGAAAAAAAGCATTGATCAGAGAAGCAGCCAAGTGAACAACTAAGTGGCAAATAAAACATAGTCTAACCTTTTTATTCTAGTCAGTTGCAGTTGCTTATATTTTTAAACTATCATCTACTTTGTGTTAGTCTGTCATATAATACATTTATGTTTCTGGCTATGACATGACTCAATAAAAAAACAAATCAAGGACTATGCTATTACAACAAACTTTAAATGTAATGAGTTGTTTTACAGCAAAACTAAGTGCTTCAAGCATAAGTACAGCCTGTAAACGACGACTCATGTCTGTAATGTGTTTTCTGTTTTGAAGACAGAAAGAAAGCAGCCAAATTGAATTGAAGTTTGAAATGACCATAACGATGTATGAATATGACCGATTAGATTTTTTTGGTAAATATTGCCCCTTCAAACAGCACAATTTAAGTTGTAATTCAGGATTGTCCCTCCTTTACTGAATTTGTACCATCTAACGTCGGACTGTGAACTTTCTACTCACATTTGTTCTGAATCGATATTTCACTCTCGTTAACTCAACAGACTAGGTTTGCACAGTTATGTAAAGTAAAGTAAGAGCCGGCCGCAGTGGCATCTGTTGAAACGGATGTGTTTAAATGTCAGGGACCTTTGACTGCCGCTGTGAACATAATCTGAAGTGAAACCCAGCATCTGACTGTGTGTTCTCAGAGATAAAAAGATCTGGGGGGCACACCGAGGCAAGCGACTGGTGTGGATACGTTTACACTGACTGCTACATATACGGGTCAGCGGCTCCACTATATTTGGTTCAGCTGACTTAGAATTAGCCCAGGTCTGTGCAGTGGCAGTAGAGACAGTATAGAATGGACACACCTATTCGGGGAGAACTTTTAGGAGTAGGGAGGTATAAAATATTCAATTGGATTCAATACACAGAACAAAGTAAGGTGAGCTGTAGAGGACTTCAGTCATTAGAGTTTTCTCCATGAAGTTGTGCTTATTAATGCCGTGTTATTCAAAACCCGATGGCCTGCATATCCAGTGCAAAGTGCCAAGTTGAAGTTTAATTTCAGCTCTTTCATTTTCCTCTGTCCAAACTGTCACTGAGTGAAGCTTTGCTTTTTTATGCTTCAAGCTTCTAATTTGTGTAAATTTACTTCAGGTTAACAGAAGAACATCCGACTTTATATGATGCCATTTCAGAATTTGGACATCTGTAATACATCTGGAAAACATGCTACAAAATTTTGCATTACTGAGTAACAGCTGTAAAATATCACTTACTTTTGTAGAAATAGGTTATTTATGTGATTTATGGTGCACTTATTTTCCATTACATCTATATTTGTGTAATCTTTTTTGCTAAATTGCCACACGTTAGACAGAATTAACCAGATTGCTCGTGCAGTTTCTGATCTGCCAGGTTAGACGTGTGAAAAAAAAGAAAAAAACTTGTACTTCTGTTGCAAAACAAAGCTAATTAATGAGGATGCCAAGTTGTAATTCTGTTTTTCTTCTTTCAAATTTGTTCCTTTTTTAACATTTTTTAATCAAAGGGCCACCAGCGCACGTCAAGACGCCACTGGAATGGACATCACCAGCCGCTGTACTCTGGGGGACCCCAACAAGCTGCCTGAAGGGGTCCCCCAGCCAGCACGCATGCCTTACATATCGGACAAACACCCAAGGCAGACTCTGGAAGTGATCAATCTACTGAGGAAACACAGGGAGCTGTGTGACGTGGTGCTGGTGGTGGGCGCCAAGAAGATTTACGCTCATCGTGTGATCCTCTCCGCCTGCAGCCCGTATTTTAGGTATGAGGAGGCGCTCTGCGGTTTCTCCCCCTGGCACGCTTTCCATTAAATTAAAGGTCACAAATCTGGAGGTCCTGAGAATTGGCTTCAGTAGTATTGAATCTGTGTTTCGGTGGTCTCCTTAGGGCGATGTTTACTGGGGAGCTGGCAGAGAGCAGGCAGACTGAAGTGGTTATCCGTGACATTGATGAGCGAGCCATGGAGCTGCTCATTGACTTTGCCTACACCTCACAGGTAGGAAGGACGGCACAAAAATACTTGCGCACACATGCTGGTGGAAGCTGAAAATCTGGAGATTTTAGTTTATTCTACTGAGTTTCGATCCCGTGATGCTTTTAAAGTGGCTTTTTTTCCTTACTAGTTTGAATTAGGTTTTAAATAAAAGAGTTATGATGGTTTACCTCATAGAAAACCCCAAACCTGTGTCTGCTTGATAGGAAAAAATATGTAAACCTTGTCTGGCCTTGTAGGTGACAGTGGAGGAGGGGAATGTCCAGACGCTGCTTCCTGCCGCCTGTCTTCTCCAGCTGGCTGAGATCCAGGAGGCCTGCTGCGAGTTTCTAAAGAGACAGCTGGATCCATCCAACTGTCTGGGCATCAGGGCCTTCGCCGACACCCACTCCTGTCGGGAACTGCTGCGAATTGCAGACAAGTTCACACAGCATAATTTTCAGGAGGTAAAAACATAGATGCAAGAAGAGGAAGAGCGCTTTTAAATTTTCTGTTGTTTGTATTGATCCTGTCCTAAGCTCTGCCAAGGGAATTACTTTTAATGGAGACGCAGCACATTACTGTAGTGATTTAGGTTTGTACGTCTTCTCCACGGAGGTATCACTCCTTCTACTTAAAGAGAAGGACAAGCTCATGGGAGCTATAGAAGACTGGATTCCACTTAGGAGGAATTGCTTTTTTTTACTATCTGCTGAACAGCCACAATACAAATGTGCAGAAGTGGCATTCAGTGTCTTTTTATTTGTTTTTAATACACCGTCATTATTTCTGCTGTTTCAAGCAGATGTAAAATCGATATGGTCAAATAGCTCCTCAACCAGTTTTCTTAATGTTTTTTTTATTATCATTATTATTGTGAATCTCTGCAAAAATAATCAGGTAGGGAATCAGCAGAAGAGAATATGTCTCTTATTTTGCTAGAGTCTACAGTGAAATATGTTGAATGTTTAATTCAGAAACCGTTATTTTGACGTTTCTGCTCTCATAATTACAATGACAGACTTGTGAGATAAATTCTGATGTCGAATGATTTAATCAAATATAGGTGAGCGTCTTCAATTAGTCAACAGAAAAAGAACATTTATAGAACATAGCGGTTTGCCTCCGGTGTGGTGCTCTCACGTGTCCTGTTAATTTAATAATGATACATGATTGGTGCTGCTGTTCATTTCTTTGGTCCTTGAACCGATAAGACATTGCTGCCTTTATACACAGTGTCTTTACTTCACTGTGAGGAGTATGACATGTCAAATCCTAAAATGGTAACTGAATATGTAAATTGAAAATTGAAATTACTTCAGAACTTCACACTAATCAAAGTGGATTTACTGAGACTTGAATCCTCCTCTGCGTGTGATTGAAGGTAATGGAAAGTGAGGAGTTCATGCTGCTTCCTGCCAACCAGCTGATTGACATCATCTCCAGCGATGAGCTGAATGTGAGGAGTGAGGAGCAGGTTTTTAACGCCGTAATGGCATGGGTGAAATACAGCATCCAGGAACGCAGACCCCAGCTGCCCCAGGTTTGTTGGAGAATTGTTACAGCAGGAAGCCGTGCGGTTAGCGAGTGGTATTTCAGAAAGTTCTGGATCATTTAAAACGTCTGATTGTTGGTTTTTATCCTGAGATGAATCTGGTAGTTTTGTTGCATTTCTTTTTCAAAATAATGTCTGCATTTTGGTATGTTTAGGCTTCATATGTGCTTCATTATTTCCTGTTGATGTTCAGATGAGATGCATGATGCCCCTGCATATTTTTTTCTCTGCAGGTTCTGCAGCATGTACGTTTGCCACTATTAAGTCCTAAGTTTCTGGTGGGGACCGTTGGTTCAGACCCACTGATCAAAAGTGATGAAGAGTGCAGGTGGGTGTTTTTGTAACATAGATATTCAGTAGTGTAAAAAAGTGTTTGCCTCCATCCCGATATACTATTTTTATTGCAATTTTATCTCACTTCAGTGTTTCAGAATATCAAACCAATTTAAATATGAGTGAAAGCCACACAAGTAAACACAAATATGAGTTTTTAAATGAAGAAGGTAGGAGAAAAAGAAAACCCTACATGTGTGACAAACGTGCAAAAAAAGCAAACAAACTAGGAAATCAGGAAGCAGTCAAACACTTTTCCACATCACTGCATATTCCAGTTGATCTAAAGGAAAATAAACAGAGACATGATGTAGTTTCTCAATTGTTTCAGAGACCTGGTTGATGAGGCCAAAAACTACCTTTTGCTTCCACAAGAGCGGCCGCTGATGCAGGGCCCCAGAACCCGCCCTCGAAAACCCATTCGATGCGGAGAAGTTCTTTTTGCAGGTCAGGAACAAAAAAAAAAATCCCAAAATGCAATTGTTTATCTCTCACGGTATTTTATATGTTGTCAATGTGTGAAATTTTAAAACGTTAGTATTTAGGTCCTAACTTTACAAGTTTGAGTCATTCTTTTTATCCTACTCTGCAGTGGGTGGCTGGTGCAGCGGAGACGCCATTTCCAGCGTGGAGCGCTACGACCCGCAGACTAACGAGTGGCGCATGGTGGCCTCGATGAGCAAACGGCGATGTGGAGTCGGCGTCAGCGTCCTCGATGACTTGTTGTATGCGGTGGGCGGTCACGACGGCTCTTCATATCTCAACTCTGTGGAGAGGTTGGTGCAACAACAGCTCATGTTCTCTTTACAGGCCGATCACCCAAAATACTATTGTTTAGTTTGATGAAGGAAGGGATGAAGTTCCCTTTAAACCAATGCTTGATTTCCACCTGTGCAGATATGATCCTAAAACCAACCAGTGGAGCAGTGACGTCGCCCCCACCAGCACTTGTCGAACCAGCGTGGGTGTCGCTGTGCTGGGTGGATTTCTGTATGCTGTCGGAGGACAGGATGGAGTGTCTTGTCTCAACATTGTTGAAAGGTTTGTCCTTGTGCATAAATCGAGCTCAGTTTACTTTTTTTTTGACACTTTATTAAATATTTAATCTTATAGTTGTTCTCATTTCCTGCCTGTAAACAGACATTCTTGTTTGTATAATGAGAATTGGAAGCAATAATTGAAACTGGCTTTGCCTTATCTCTTATTTTACCAGGAATAAGTTACTGTGTAATTGATTAACTGTATCTTAACATAACTTGCTTCTAGGTATGATCCAAAGGAAAACAAGTGGACTCGTGTGGCCTCAATGAGCACCAGGCGGCTTGGTGTAGCTGTCGCTGTGCTGGGAGGATTTCTTTATGCTGTCGGAGGGTCTGATGGGACATCTCCTTTAAACACGGGTACTTTACCTTGTAAAAGGGCAATATAAACCTCTTTCAACAGCCTCAACAGGAATACATTTAGATTAAAACCCCCTTTTCCAGGCTCCTAAAAGCTACTAAGCTACAAATGTTTCCGCCGTCTGAAACGATACCATTCTATTTCCATCCATTTTTCTGTCGTCAGTGGAGCGCTACAACCCTCAAGAAAACCGCTGGCACACGGTGTCTCCCATGGGAACGAGACGAAAGCACCTCGGATGCGCGGTCTACCAGGACATGATTTACTCTGTTGGGGGGAGGGACGACACCACAGAGCTGAGCAGCGCAGAAAGATACAACCCCAGGACCAACCAGTGGTCACCGGTTGTAGCTATGACGTCCAGGCGTAGTGGGGTCTGTATCTGAGGCTAAAACGCTCCATTAATAAACACTGAATGACTTTGGATTGTTGTTGTGTGACACTAAGCTGTAAATGTGTGCATCTGTAGGTGGGCTTGGCAGTAGTGAATGGTCAGCTGATGGCGGTAGGCGGCTTTGATGGGACAACATATTTAAAAACTATAGAAGTATACGACCCGGACGCCAACACATGGAGGTAAGTCTTTCTGATTTCATATTTAAAATGAGAAAAACTAGTAGTAAAATTTATATTGGTTTAGTTATTTAAATGTGTTTTTATTTGTTTTGAGTTTTAATTCAAATCTTATCTGACTGATGTTTAAGTGGAGACCTTCTGGTCTCCACTCTGGGCAAGTTGTGGTTTGAGTGATGTGCAATTTTACTTTTCCACAAAATGAATTTTACCGGTGTGCCTTTAAAGCCAAATAGCATGACTTTGACATATTTGTTGTGTCAATCAAGCGATCAAGTTTATTTGTGTAGCATATTACAGCAACAAAGCAACTTAAAGTGCTTTATATCATAAACAGACAAGAATATTTTAGTCACAGTTACAGATTCTTCTACCTGAGCTGTAAATCACTGCAGGTTCTCCACTCCCTTTCTCATGTCTGTGAGTCTAGGTGTATAAATACACATAGGTAGATCTGCTGGTGTGCAAAACTTCAGTCAGATGTTTAAAGCCTGGGATGTTGTTCAATAACGTAACCCTGCTGTAAACCTGGTTTTCTAACTAAGAGCCTTCTGGAAGCAAATTGATCATCTCAATTTTATCGGTTAACCAGAGTAAACAAGGCCTATCTATTCAACTGTGTGCTACTTTGTTTTATCTTGAATTAAAATGCATTAAAGCTTCTAGCATTTAAAATGTCAAAAAAGAATCAAGGTTACTTTTTATATTTTTTTTTTTATTCAACTGACATCATCATCATGTCTTCTGTGACTTGTGTCCATCAACTTGGTGTTTGTACTCTCACCTTTTCTCCAGGTTGTACGGTGGAATGAACTACCGCCGGTTAGGTGGAGGAGTGGGCGTCATCAAAATGACTCACTGTGAATCTCACATATGGTAACGGCACCCCCCTCATGCGTCGCTCGCCTCGCATACTTTCACTTCTCATGACGTCTCGATGGATATTTAAGCCGCTCTCGTGCCTCTAAAAGCGACAAGGATAAGAGAAACGTGGGAGTGGGCATCTTGAACTCTGGTCCATCCCCAAGCGTCACTCAGAGGTCATTAAGTTCATCCTGGCTGTTTTTTTTACATTTTTTTTTTATGTCTGATCAACTGTGCTCATTGCAAACTGAGGAGGGAGCAAAGTTTACAGAACCTCACTAAGCTTCCAGTTTGGACGGAAACGTAAGGATTTTTTGTCGTCCAAGCCTCACGGTCTGGGTTTGAATCAGCATGTGTGACAGATGGAGCACGCTACGCACATCACTGCTACCGGAGGAACATAATCTGATCTGTGAGTTTCAGAGAAAGGAGGATGTTGGAAAGAACTGGTTCACTAGACAAAGTTTGTAAGAACCTTGGCAACCTAAAGTGACTTTTTTTTGTTTTTTCAAATCGGCAGCCACCAGAATATTGTCTTCAAGAGACAATGGTGCACACCGACGGTCAGGAGCGAATCTGTGCTTTGTTTCGGTCCCTTGTAGTTTTTAAACTTGCATCTCAGCTGTGGCTTCACAGCTTATGCCACAGTTTTGCGGGATTGAGACTTCACACAATAAATTGTTACAGGCCTGTACAGTTGGATGTAATAGGCAATACGGTGTAAATGGGACTGTAATTGTTACCATTTTTAGAGTTAAGTTAAAATGGTCTAGCTGGTGAATGAAAAGAAACCAAGGTCACCAAACAGTGTAACTGTTTTTTTTAGGTAATTCCATGGCTGAATCTTAAAGGCATAATAACTGAGACTTAACATGAACATTAGGTTTAAGTACCTCCCACACAACTCATCTGTCCCAGATGACAAATGTTTGAATTCACCTCAAGAAGTAAGCAGCCACTTTTCCATCAAAGTCTGAAATGACTTAAAATACTGATGGTTTTTGTTCTTAAACCTAAAAGAAAAATCCCCAAAACTATTATCTTTAGCAAATAAAAACAGGCAATTTCTGCTGTTGAATAATTCACATTTGACGTAGGACTGAAAGAAAACTTAACGAAGGATTATATGACCTGATTCAGCAATGTGCCTCTGGTTCGCTGAATAGTTTTGTTCTGGGGAAAACAGTAGAACTGAAGAATAAGTCTGTAGTGTCAGAATTGATTCTTCCTTTTTAGTGTGGTAATAAGGTAAACATATGCAACATTAAAGTTGCCAGGGGGGTAAAAAAAAAAAAAATTGTAGTGCTTAGAATTCAGCTTGGTGTACAAAATCTAACCAACATGGATAGTTTTAAGAAATGACACCATTGTTTTGACTTCTTTTGGATCATCTGAGTTACCGTAGACACATCCAGGCATACCATTATCCATCTCCATTTAGATCCATAACGTTCCCAATTCCATTATCCGGAAACTGTGTTGCATTATTTTTAAGTCTGTGCTCAACATATCTGCTCTAAATGCAGTTAAAACGAGTTTCTGTAAAAGTGACGAGTAAAGTAGCACTAAAGGTTCTGATACTGGTTTACATAACCATAAGACTTTATGGCACAAAACCATGGTCTGCTCCTTGTCTTGTTTTTGTTTTTTTAACTAAAGTTGCGGATCACAGTGGCGCCACCTACTGGATATATGGTATGCTACACTAAATCAAAAAGAGTCGCTGATCTCAGCTCGGTGTAAGAATTACAGCCAGCATACATGGGAAAAGGGGTTTGGATACATATACTGCACTGTGACTGTGTTCACGTTTTAATTTTTTGCTTTTAAAACTTGTTTTGTAGGGAGCTGGAGGGAGGCTTCCATTTCAAAGAGAAGCTTAATATCATCAAAAGTTTCAATTGGAAATGAGACATTTCAGGATTTTTAGAGCTGGAATTATGTAGGAGAAACGCTTGCTGGGATTTGCTCCGTTACATGCAGTTCATCTGCGCTCTGTTCCACTAAACCAGCACACGCACACGCATGCACACAGGCACACACATGCACACAGGCACACACATGCACATAGATGCACACACACATAGGCGCGGCTGAAACGGATGCAGGCAGGTGTAGTTATTTTTAAACAATTTTCTGTGCGAGAAGGACCTAATATGAATGTATGTGAATATTCAGCGGTTTGTTGACGTGTGGAGTCGGCCTTCAAGCAGGTGTTCAGCATGACCCCCAGCCGTTTATGCTGTTGAAAGCTCACTTGAACTTTTGAATCGAAACACTTCCTGCCTTTTTTGTTGTTTTGTTTTTTTTGTTGTAAGCCGACATTGAAGATGGGCTCTGGAGCATGCCATACGTGTATATTAGTTGTGACATATATTTCATGCTGTCAGTTGCTTAACAAAACAAATTACTGTTTGACTAACTGTGGTTGCCTCACAAAAGAAACTGTTCTATTTAAAACTTCATAAATATCTCTGCTTTTATCCTGGGCAATCCACTTACTGTTCAGTTCTTTTCTCTACAGCTATTATTTACCACAGGCTAATAAACTGCTCTATTCTCACTGTCTGAAATCTTTTCTCATTACTTTTTAAATTCTTTTTTGCTTTTTTAATTTTGTTTTCAGTAACATGAAGCTTCTTCATTTCTTATGTGGGTCTGTGATTACATCTTACTCTCACCAAAATGTCATTGTGATAGATTTCAGCAGAATTAATACTTGTGTACCCGAATCAAAGACTTGTCATAGTATGTGCTGGTTAAAAGATTACTCTCTTAATTATGTTTAAGAATTTAAAAGCTTACCTCTGAGAGAAAATGATTTTTATCAGATGTATATAAGTGTCCAGAGTGCATCATGCCCTCTAAACTGTTGCTTTTTCTCTGGCTTTGTTCATGTCTTTTTTTTTTTTTTAAGGACATTTTTTTATGAAAACTTGAAGAGTTTGAAAGACAGAAAATGAATCAGCATTTTCAATATTCAACATTTTTGGTGAAAGAATTTATTAAAGATCTTTTTTATTCAAACATAGTCAAGAAGTGCTGTGCAAGATAGCGTAAAGAACATGGGGTTATCAAACCAGAGAGGGAAAAATTAGACATAAACATGCAAAAGAAGGTGAAGGAAAATGCTAATACCAGTGCAAATCCTAGTCAAATGCCTGGCTAAATTGTCTGTTTTTTAAAGTAATCCAGTGATTAGACAGGGTTGATTTACTGAGTCGTTAACCAGCTTTGTCTCGTCACCAGAAGCAGGATCGTCATTGCTACATCCCCATCAGCTTGTATTTTAAATACCTTGCATTTTGCATTTCGTTGGTGTTGGAAGATGTTTTTTTTTCTTTTTGGATGTGACAAAAACCATTCAGTCAGATGATCATCAAATCTGCTAAATTACGTACACTTGCTACTGGATTGACACAACTCAAGCACTACGACAATAATCAAGCAATAAAAATCAATCTGCAGCCACACAAGTTACCCTGCATGCATTAATGGACATTCTCTCCTATCAGGTTGTTGTGTGGTTTAGCATGACCCAGTTCAACTAATAATTATCTGACTTCTTACGAACCCTACTGAGGATTGCAAATGTATTCCCAGATAGAGATGATCAGTTGGCATTAAGCGTATATACAAAGTAGAAAAACGCTGCTCTGTACTATACTATCAAGTCTTTGTATTAGAGTAGGTCTTCTATGAGTATGAATGCATAACGTAGAGCAAACTAGAAATGAGCAAAAATCCCAAAGTTTTATCCACTGCTGCTGCATTTGATCTATAATACACAGTTGGGCTCATGATGGACAGTTTAGCAGAGAGATATAGATCAATATACCCGGGGCAGAGATACTGTATATTGTATTCCTTCTTACTTTCAGTGCCTTTGCTAATTTTTTATTTATTATTTTTTGTGGTTGCTAAAATAGCCTTTATTTCAATAGTTCTGGTTCCAGAATCATGTCAAGCGGCTCTTTTCCTAACTCTGCAGTGTTAGGAAACACTAACACTGGACTAAAAAAATAAGTCCATTTAAACAAAGAGTTTAAATGGAGTAGATTTTAAGAGAAAGTCATTGATTTTTTTTCAGGCCTGCAGTAAATTCCATAAACAAGAAGAGATGCGAATACTTAGGGCTGGTGATGGTTTTAGCTTTCACCTCAAACTTTTGTTTATCCATCCTTTCTCTGTCTTGTGGATGTATATTTTACAGACCTACGAAGACTCGACGATGCACTGGCCTGAAAAGTAAGCAGGGATGAGAGAAAGGTAATAGGCTTCTATATATGTTGTGCCCCAAAGGCTGTGCGAACAAACTCTGAACACACCTACAAGCTCCCACTCATCTGAAGGAAAGCAAACATTCACACATCCCTGCTTCTTGGCTCTCTTACCTTTTCAGTGCTGCTTATTTCTCCATCCCATCCTTCTCCCTTAACTGTCTCATAAATGTACACTGACCAGGCTATTCCTCTCTACCCCTATAAACCTTGAAGAATCACCCACCCTCCACAAGCTATGAAACCTTTGCCCTGGGCACATCTCCAAACAATCTGAAATGAACTCATATTGGTTTGTGCCTCAGCTGGAACCTGACGCTGCAGCTGTGTGTATACTCCAAATGTATGGCTGTGTCACTGGGGCTTTCTCACCATCTCGCAAGAAGTTCTAACCTGAACAGTGATCCAGAAATACAATCTGCTGCCCACTCTGTCCTGTTCCTGACCAGCACTTCCACAGAGAATACAAGAACTGAAGATGAACCAACAAGAGGGAAAAGGTTATGTTTATTCATCCGGCTTTGCAATGTAGGGTATCTAAATGCAAAATTACACTCACACCAACTCTGTTCTTGCTTTTATTTCTGTTCTTTGCCACTCCAGATGGGATTTTAAAAATGCAGTCGGCTTAAAAGTCAAATTCTGTTGCCTTCAACATGTAAACCATGAATTAATCACAGTGTCTTACACTGGTTTTTCAAAGCAGATAAATAATTCTAAATGTTCTTTCCTAACATAAAGGGAATTTTTGGAGGTGAATATCTTCTCACACATCAAAATATGTTTTGGTGCTCACCTATATTTTTTGGAAAGGACTTTGATGCAACTGTTGTTACACAAGACTGAGATCTTGTGCAAATAGATACACTATTTTTGTCAGTACAAAATAGATTTATACTGGGACTTTTATGTTCTTTCCTGCACTGCCATGTTATAGACAAGCACTTCACAGCTCAGTTTCCAAAAAATGGGGGTGCTGGTGCCAAAGTTTGTGGCTTAGAGTAACCGTGGTGGGTCAGAGCAGAAATAACAACATATACTGTAATGTTGGTAGAATTTGAGTTCTTTTAGTTCACAATCTTTGTCACAGCTGGCTACTTAATAATGCTCAAGGAACAAAGATAGACCTGGCTCACCAGCGAGTGCTTTCAAATCAATATAAAGGATGCCGGTTTACTAAGTCTCCAAGTTGCTGCATTTCTAGTGACTTTAATTGTGTTGTGTGATAACGTTGCTTTTCATGTTTGGGAGTTTTGTGCATGTAACTCCATCGTTCTATTGATTTTGCTTCAGTGCGCATAATTTTAATCTGTTTTACTCAAGTTTTTGACTTTGTTAATGAAAATGATCACTGTTGTCGACTACAAGCTCAAACACAATTAAAATACGTTTTAAAATTTCTGTTACATAATTCAACTGTTAATCCTTAATTATAATCTTTTATTTTTCTAACTCTAACTTTAATAGAGAAAATTCTATACAGGTATGAATTATTGAAAGTATATTGAAAGTAATATGATGTCATTTACTATCGTTTTTTTTTTTCTTCTTTTTTTTCTGGAACATCATGAAGGTCACTGTGAGATGAGTGCTGATTATCATAAAATCCTGATTATAGAGTGGCTTCTCCTCCGGATGTTTGAGACAGAGTGCTGTTAAGTCTGAGACGGCACTGATGATAAAGAAAAAAATGAACTTTGGAGGTACTGAATATAAGAAACAAACTCCGTTGATAAAATCTAATATGATGTTTGGGGATTTCAAAGTCGAGCCTCGTCTCAAAGCCTCACATTTCTCCGACTTGTCCCTCTGCAAGGGGACAAAATACATGTTTTATTTTATTACACTGGTGATGCCATCACACTTGATCATTTCCCATGCTACAATTCCAAGATGAAAATACTCCGACATGAACGAGTCTGCCTTTTTCCAGTAATTATACGTTTTCTAACACTACATGGACACTTTAGCAACTATAAAAACTGAATGTTATGCAGAAGGGAGGACATTTGTGAGGAGCAGATCACATTGATGACATGATGCACCAACTTCTGTTCATGCCCTGCTATTCAGACACCAGACGAGAGTAAACAAGACGTGCCTAAGTTTTGTGTTCAGCTTATAGCGATTTGTCTGCCTCGTCGGTGGATAAAAATCCATCAAAAATACTGATTAATCATCTTTCTCAAAAGAATTGACTCCTGATACCATGCCACTTATTTTCCATTAAGGATGAGGATGATGGAGCACATTCATTATTTGGACTCCAATCACATTCTCTGTCCTTGGTAAACAGACGATAAAGTCTTTAAACTGGTTGGACACACACAGACACGCACCCCTCCTCCCCCCACACACATGCGCACGCAGACACACGCGCACACGGAGAAGCTTTAGACATCTTCAATCAGCCAACTCATCCCAGGGGTCCTTCACTGCACATTATAAAACAAAATCAGGGGCCAGAATCACAAACGTTGTTTATGCAGAAAGTCCATTCAAATATCCTTTTTGCACAAACCAGCCAGTAGGGAGAGGCACTTTGTGAAAACCTCAGGCCAGACCAGACCTAATGACTTTTTCCATCGCACGTTTGCACAACGTTTGCATGAATGGATAGAGGGACTGACCGAAAGTGATTCATTGCACCTTAAGAGAACGCGTCTTTTAACATCTCATCAATTTTCTTCGAAGGATTTTTATTGGGCAACATAATTAGTGTGTTTACTTTTGAACATTACAACCCTGTCTCGCCCCCAAGCCACTGAGTGAAGCTCTGTTGAAAGATTACGAGCACATCATTTTTTACCTGCAGTAGAAGCCTCTTGAAGTCCTCATTCATGACTTTTTTTTCTCTCTCTTGCACCCAGAGGTTGGATTCTCTGAGTTGCAAAGTTGGAAAAACAACTTGAGCGTCTTTTGAAGCTGAAATTCCGAAAGTTGTGTATTGCTCCTAGCATCTGTTGGAAGATATTTAGTGGCACATTTCTTCCTACCTCTCCTCCCTGTGCACAGAATTATAGTCCATGCTGGAATTACTGCCCAATGCAAACTTGATTTGAAGATTTTGGAAATAGTATTCTCAGAAAATGAAACTCTGGTTTCAAGATAGCAGGAATCTTTTTAGACTCATCCCTTCTTGTATAGCAATTGGCTTCAACTTGCAGGACCTACTACATTATACCTGTTAGAAATACCAATAGACTGCATGTGTCAAATGGCTCATAATCTTCTAACACAGCTTCACTTCAAAACTCTGGCTATTGCTTTTTCTTCAACAACAGGAATATTTG